ACAATATATTCAAAATTTTAAACAAATTCAACGAACAAATTAAATATTTAACTCTACAACTTCAGCTCCATCGGATATTACCAAACCTTCACCCTCTCACCAACGATAATTTACTTGTCTTTTAATTTCCCTATTTTTGAACCTTTAAGGTAAAATTTTGAAAAGAAAATGCAATAGAGAAATTCCTCTCCCCTTTAAAGCAAGGTAGTTTTGTGGTTACTTTTGTTTTGGTGCAAATCTTATTGCACTTATATATGTTACATGCATTAATCCAAAGAAAAATAGCATGTACTGAATTATTTAAGAGTTACAGAAATAATAATAAACATTGATACATGTCTAATACTTTACCACATCATATATCACCAGCACCATACAACATGCTTATTTATATCAGATGCACACCACTGGTACAAAGATGGCTTAAAAAGTACTTGTATTTGAAGACAGATAGCATCATTAATGTTTATTGTTGCTACTATTAGATGCCATATGTTAAACAGAATCGAAAAATTTGACATTGATTCATAAGTTAGTTTTGATTTTGTTGTCATTTGCTGAAAAATCAAAATTTGATTGCTGCTGGGTGGAGTTGTCAACGTCATTTTGCATAAAGTTGTCACAATCAGCGAGACCTAGATTGATCATTATGCACAGAAATCAAATAAAAATCAAAACGATAGGTTTCTTCTGGTGAATCTTTTTCAAAAAAGGCGAGGATGAATTTTTGAGGTGCAAAGGTTATCATGCACACGATTACGAGTACTGAGACTTAAACACCAGTCTAATGTAAGGTGACCAGTTTTTAACATTCAAAAAGCAGGGTACCATTGATGGGGGAGGGATGGGGGGATGTCTTGATTAAAACTTTGGTACCTTTAATAAATTACAAACATGAATCCTCTGAATAGCTTATTTGTTGACATCACTTGTTTAACTAGCACTAGCACGCAGAACAATGTGTATCATATGATAGTTACAAAACTCAATATGTGATGGCATTACTTCATAGACGACCAACAAACTCCTTATACCCTGAACCTTCTCTAAAATTCCCCTCCATTTCCAATTTTTGTATAAGATGTAATTCCTTTGCAACAATGTTCCAAATGATGCTAGATAACTAGCGTCATTTGGAACATTGACATATGTAGCCATAAGAATAAAATCTGTGGAAGTATACAAAGTATTCTAGCAACTGATCAAGGCGAACTTTGATAAGCAGTTCCCGATAATCATTTCTCAACAATTATTTTTATTATTAAAGTTTAACATTAGAAATTTTTTTAAAAATAATATAAAGCTCATATCCTGGTGAAATAGCTACATGGAAGCCGAAAATCGTATATTCCCGTTCCCTTGCTTGTCGTGCGTTCTTTCTAAAAATAGGGACTTTCTTAAAACCTCGCAGGACATGGGATAGATTGTTAAAAATCAGGACATCTGATCACAGTCTAATGAGTCATGCTTAATAAAAAGACAATTTCGATACTGTGAGTGCCATCTCTAGGAATTTATAATGATTTATTGAACAACCCTCAAGGTATACCACAGTCCTTTAATATGAACCAAGTCTAAATAAGCTTTTAGCTATTATTTAAGTATGTGAGTTAAAGTATGTCAAAGCCAACAGGTAATAATTACAATTGAAGATATTAATACACCAAAAATTTTAAAACTATTTTCAATGTAGTCAAAATAAACCATACCTCGGAGCCATTTTGTCTCTTAAAATAATCAAATCTTTTGGTCTTGCTTATATAATCAAAGTCGACCATCCCCGGCCACCTGCAAAATATTATAAACTTTTACAAGTAGAATACCAAATTAAGTTTCAATTATGTATACACGAACTTTTCTGTAAAACATTTCAATTTGACAATGTAATTTTTAGAAAATAAAATACTACAATTACTAAAATTCACAACAGGCAAGATAAATTTATAAAATGAACAGAAAGTATTTTACAATAAAATTTATAATCTGTAATGCAACGTTTCAAAATCTAGAGAAACAATTATACAAGAAATTAAAAAGGAAAAAAAATTGTATTTCACAAACCTTCAAAAACTAATCTATAAATTTCAATAATTTAACAGTAATTACCAAGGATATTGTCCTAATTTAGCCCATACGATTTGCCCCGGATCGAATTCCATGCGATCTTCATTAACATCTAATTTTGAAGGGATATCACAGCTTCCATTTTCTGCAAAAAAAATTTAGTAATTGTCAAAAAAATACTAAACAATTTTATACAAAAGTGTTAGGACATGACGTTTTGTTAAAAATATTTTTTTACAATTATAGGTTTGATGCTATAAATAAGGGGTCTTTATTTGGAACTTCTCAATATTTCTACATGAAGGAGTTAGCTCTTCCTAGATTTCTTCCCAAATATATATATATATATTTAAGACTATCACTAAAGGAATAAACTATTGATGTTATAGGTCAAAAATAACTTAACACTAAAATTAAAAATAAAAGTATTCTCATTAAAAGAATCAAAATTCTTTACAAAACATTGATAAACTCCACTCTTTTCTCCTGTTCAATTATGGTTGCCAAATTTAAGATAAATTTCAGAAATTTTCTTATTAGGTCACTTGCATCCACCTCGGCTACACAGCGGGTCTTTTGTGGCCAAGGCTTGAACCCGCGACTCAACGAAAGTGAGTGAATGTAAAGTTTATTGGCACAAGAGCCAAATATGGCTACGCTGCGCCAAACAAGATTTAAATGTTGTCTAGATGTGAAGAAATTGAAAAAAATGACTAAAATTTATTGAAAAAAATGACTAAAATTTGTTGACAAAAAGGAGAGTCAAAAATAGAGAAGGATCGCTAGGGTAACTTGGGGATGCGACACCCATGTTTACCAAAGACAGTAAGTCCCCATGAGAAAGAAAAAGACCACTAGGGTGTCTCGGGGTCATGATGCCTGTTCTTAGCGATTCAACTCATATTAGACTCCTAGTCTATTATGATATTTCCCCAGAATCCCTAATCCTGTACCAAGTGTTATATGACGTTTATTTTGAAAGATCCCTGTTATATAATTTTACACAACAACATTTCTCTCTCTTACGCTCTCATTCCACTCTTGCTCTTATACACTCCTCTCTGAAGATCAACTGAGACTTTTATAGTGTTTTTGCTTCGGCCTTTGGTGGCCGAAGCCCGACTAAAGTCTGAAAGAAATAAAATCTTTTTGGCCATTATGCAGATTATGTCATTAATCTGTTTAATTGTATAAGTAAAATCTATATAAAAAGTTTAAAATCTTTCTTTTATCTAATATCCCAAAAAATCGTATTTGAATTAGATTCAAACAGTTACCACGGATATTTATCAGGAAATTACGCGATTTTAAATAAAGTTTTAAAACAAAATCCTCTAAACACTAAAAATTTCTTCTCTCTTCTCAATCGATTCACCAAATGGGCCATAAATCACCATTTCTGAATGGCACCAGAAGCAACACAAGGGCTATTGGCGACGGACCTCGTAATTTTGAACCTCGGTCAAGGGATGAAGACGACACCTGAACTGACACCCCCTCTCCTAACTTCCACACCACGCCAACGGGAGGACTTTGGGCCCTGACAGATTTAAAGTGCAACAACCCCGGCTACACAGCGAGTCTTTGGTAGACAAGGATCGAACCCGCGACTGAACGAAAGCCGCCGGTCACGAATCCGAAACCATAACCTCTAGGCTACCGCGGCCACACTCGGGGTACGTACTTTTCCGCAATAAGGAGGAGTATTATTTCCCCCTCTGTCCTAGTTTACACTACTGACTACTCAAATTACTAATAAGAAAAATTTAAAATATGTATTTGAAAGAGTATAGAAAGTTTAAGATTGCATGTTGGCCCCCCCCCCCGATTATTGAAATTTAGTGTGCCAGATGAGAATTCTCAGATCTTTAATAAATATTTAAAAATACTTGCAAATATCGGAAGGAAAAAAAATAAATTCATAGAGACCTTCCTTTTTATGCTGTTTCAAATGAACATAATTTTATGCAATTAAAAGAAATCTAAATTCGAAAACGGCAATAGAAAATTCCGTAGAATTAACATTGCGCATTGAAATTTGAGATGGCGAGCCAATAGTAGTCTTAATCACGTAGAACTTGCGACATTGACCATAGAGCTATAGTGGCCGTAACAAAAAGACAAGATTATCTATTTTTTTTTTAAACTAAAGGGTTTTAGTTTATTTTAATAGACTGCACTCTATTTTGGATCTTAGATCTAAACAGTATCCAACCAATTAATTTAAATTTTAGATCTTGCGATTTTACATAAGTTTTCTGAGCTGCGGATCCATATCAAGAAGGAATTTTGAACTGCTACTTCAGATGAAAGGTTTTAATACGCCTTGTTTTTCATACTACTTCACATAAATAACAAAAATTTAATTTTCTTAACACCGAGTTTATTTAACAAAAGTAAAGAGTTTCTCGGAAAGATATAAATGACCTTACCTTGCATGGAGCATTCCCAATAATCTGGTAATTGATCACCCGAGGAGTAACCTTCTACGCGGCGCCATTGCCGGCAGACGTCACATTCAACAAAGATACTATGGTCTGCCGTGTACTGATCAATGACTTCCTTCAGTTCTTGTTGAACACTTATTGTTCTCTCTAAAATGAAAAAATAATATAAATCATTCTGTAGTTATTGGTGATGCCGCTAGAGGGTGCACCCGTCCAGGCTAGAAGGAAAAAAGTTTGAGAAGGCAAGGAGAGTTTTTTAGTTTTAGTTTTTAATGTTGCACCAGAGGCAACACAAGGGCTATTGGTGACGGACCTCGTAATTTTGATCATTGGTCAAATGACGAGGACGACACCCGAGCTGGCACTCCCTCTTCTAACTTCCACACCACGCCAAGGGAGGACTTTGGGCTCCGATAGATTTTACGTGCATCAGCACCGGCTACACGGCGGGTCTTTGGCGGCTAAATATCGAACTCGCGATTGAACGATAACCGCCAGCACGAATTCGAAACCATGACCATAGACTACGGAAGCCGAGGTAGAGTGGAATAAAACTTCTCCAATCCACACAGAACAGCTACTTGTTGTTAGTTAGTTTGTTTTATTTACGTTGCACAGAAAGCAAAACAATGACCATTGGCGACGGACCTCGTGATCCGGAGCCTCAATCAAGTGGCGAGGACGACACCTGAGCTGGCACCTCTCTTTCTAACTTCCACACCACGCCAACAAGAGGAAATTTAGCCGCGAAAGATTTAACGTGAGTCAGCCCAGGCTACACGGAGGGTTTTTAGTGGCATCAAGGATAGAACTCGACGAAAATCGCAAGCTGCGAGTCCGCTACCATGACCACTAGGCTACCGCGGTCACCACAGAATTGCTACAATCAAAGATAATCATTGAAAAAATTAATTTTACGAATAATGCCCTTTCCAACGGTGATTTGAAGAAGATGAGAATGGTGATTTGTTCCTCTCTACCTCCATTGTCGAGGTAGAGAGGAACAAAACTTCTCGCCTATACACCGAGCTATTACACTGTCTCAGAAAATACTTACTGGCAATGTATCGGAATATAAGGTAGACAACCTTTAGTTTGGATAAAATTGTCCAACACGATATCTAGAGAGTATTTTCTTAATCATTGGAAAACAGTAGAAAGTTTCTAGAGACGCTAAAAAGATTATCTTCGCATGATTACCGAAGAAATCGGAGAAATAATTTACAATGTAACAAAAATAGAGTTAAGAAATTTAATTTTTAACAGCGAAAGTTATGAAGGAAGATGCGAATTTTATATATTCTCCTAGTTATATATTATTATTCTAGAACAATATTCTGCTAGTTATTTCCGAGAGGAAATAAAAATAAAGAGAAAAACAAAATGAACTAGAGCTAGAAAAGATTAGTTTAGAAAAATTGAGTATCTAAGAAAAATTCGAAGACGTTAATAAAATCTAAATAAACTAAGTTTAGTTTAGATTTTACTAGTTTTAGTTTAGTTTTTATTCACGTCGCACTAGAAGCAACAAGAGAGCTGTTGGCGATGGACCTCGTAATTTTGAACCTCGGTCAAGTGATGAGGACGATACCCGAGCTGGCACCCCCTCTCCTAATATCCACACCATGCCAACAGGAGGACTTTCGAGCTTCGACAGATTTAACGTGCATCAGCTCCAGCTACACGGCGAGTCTTTAGTGGCATCAAGGCTCGAACCCAAGACTGAACGAAAACCGCCGGCCCACGAATCCGAAACCATGACCGCTATACTACCGCGGTCATAAGAAAAACTCGAAAAAGAATAAGTCTAGTGGAAATTAGATTGGAATACAAAGAGTCAAAATAAAAACGATACCATAAATTGAATAATTTATTAAAAATTATATTCAAAGAATTAGGACGCTCACATTGCCTATACCGAGAAGATGAAAAGGGTGGCACAAAAATTTCCGAGTCGATAAAAAGAGTATTTAAAAATAAAATGCCAGAAGAATTTAAAAGGGAAATTTTGTTAAATACTTTATGCGAGAGCAATTAATAAAAACAGCTGTTCAGAAAGAATTTGAGCCAATCCCTTGTTTACAAACTTTTCGTTAAGCTAGACGTATGGCAAATGAGTCCAATTTGCCTCTGAATTGGTAACATGGAAACAATAATTCTTAACTTTTTTTCAATCCGCTTACGTTCTTTATCGCGTATCCCAACCAAGAATCCTTCCGCACATACAGTTTCACCCATTACAAATTCCAAAAACTTCTTAAAAAAATGATTGAATGTTATGCCTAGTTTTATGCCAAATTTTAGTCCTCGGAACCCTCCACCAGTAGTACAGTTCAACAGGTGTTGTTTCCTTTCCCGATTGGGGTGCTCAGTGACCAATATCGAGTTTCAAACCTTCAACTATCCAACCAAAAGAAAGGATCCTGTCCCCTGGTTTTGGAAGAAGCGTGTCCAATATCGTTCGAGCACAAAATTTCCGAAGCGAAGGGTCATCAGATATCTACGAAATGTTCGACTAGAACGTAGTGTCCGAGGGCACTGTAGTATCTTTTTAGAGTGCGACAAGCTCAAAAAAATGCCATATTCGCATTTGAAATGTAAGCGCAACAAGCATTTCATCTAATTGTTAAGAACTTTAATATTTTAAGTTATTTGCAATAAATTAGTGTAAATAGTACTCTCAAAATATCCTGTCATTTAACGCAACTTCTCCTGTCAAACCAGGAATAGACAACGTTATCACAAATGAGATTCAAGAATTTTAAAAATTATGTAGACATTTTTTTTTTTTATTCAATACTTTTAAATTTTTATTCGTTTGTGACCGTCACTTTTCCGTACCCCCAAACGGTCTCTCACGCAACCACTAGGGTACGCGTACAACCGACTGAAAGGAGACGTTAATGATTTTGTGTCTTTAAAATAACCAATAGTGAGCAACAAAACATCAAAAATACTGCAATTCATAAATTTAAAAACTGCAATTCATAAATATTAAACAGGATCAAAGTTGGTTTCGACGGCTAGAATTTAGCGAGTGATGAAGTTAAATGGCACAAGAACCAGATATGGCTATGCTGCGTAAAAAAAGGTACAACAAATCTAGACGTTTGAAGAAAGGAGGATAATCGAAAGTAGAGAAGGGTCGCTTGGGTATCCCGAGGCGCGTCACCCGTGTTTACCAATTAACAGTAAACTCCATGGGAATGGGGGAAAATGCTCTACAGTGCCTTGGGTGAATGATGTTCGTACTCACCAGAGGAAAGTAAAGTCTCAGAGGGCAATATTAAATCGGGAACAAATTGTGTCCGTTTCTAGATTGAATTATTTCAACGAGACTTCCGTGCGAAATTTATACTGATGAATTTGGATTTCAAGACAAATTTGGAAATTCCTATAATAAGTGAACTATTTAACGGAAGTAGTGAACAATAATTTCCATGATTTTTACCAAATAACTTCGGATATTGCAAAAAACCAAAACATGACATCTATAGCAGACATAAGCGTCAAAAATGTTCCGTTTGTTTACAGTTATGCACACATCACATTAATTCTGTCTTCACAACAGAAGAACAAGCTATATGACAAGCTTTAGATTATCTAATCAGCAGCATTCGGATGAGGGAATTGAGTGCTAGCCTGGGCAAGCGTTAAAAACAAGCAGTTTAATAAAGGTGCCGAAGCGCCTAGGATGAGATAGAGTTGGAAGGGAGAATAAAAAAATAAAAGGAGAAAAAAAAAAGGTTTTTTTTCCTTCTTTTTTTCCCTCAACCGGAAAAAATTCCAGTCGTAGGAATTGTTTTATTTTATAATAATAACACATGGATCAATAAGTTCCGAGACTAACCCAGAGATGGCGCTCGTAGTAAACCAGTAACCAGGTCTTTCTAGAGTATTAACCTTTGCTTGAAACGTGTCAAAATTTTAAGTCGATCGGACCAGAAACAGCTGAGTTATCGAGGTTGGAGTAAAGTCCTTTTGTAGTTTGCTTAAAAAATGGAAAAAACAGAGTTTCGTGTTCTGATAAAACATTGTTTTTTAATGGGTAAAAACACCGTGCAAGCGAAACAATGGATTGAAAAATGTTACCCGGACTCTTGTCCATCAAAAGCAACGATTTGTCGGTGGTTTGCCGAGTTTAAACGAGGTCGTACCGACACAAACGACGCGGAACGCTCGGGTAGACCTGTGGAAGCCGTTACACCGGAAAATGTGAGTGAAGTGACAAAAATTATAATGAAAGATCGTAAAGTGAAGCTCCGAGATTGCTGAGATGACAGTATCATATGAAGCTGATTTACTATCCTTCATGAAAACTGAGCATGAAAAGGTTTTTCCAATGGGTGCCGCGATTGCTCTGATGGACAAAACAGCAACGAGTCGATGAGTCAGAAAGCTGTTTATCGCAATTTACCTGCAACAAAAGATTTCTTGCGTCGTTACGTGACCATGGACGAAACATGGATACAGCATCAATCACCCAAAGTCGAAGCGGCAGATGGCGCACAATATGATAGCCGTCCGAAGGTCGAAAACGCAGCAGTCAGCTATGGCTTCATGGCGTCAGCTCTTTTGGGATACGCTGGCATGATTTCTGACTTACCCTGAAAAGGTAAACTGATCAACATGATTGATTATATTGACTTGCTGGTGCGTTTGAATGAGGAAATCGCAAAACGACTCGCACAGTCTCGGACTTATATAACTACGTGTTATAAGTTTTGTTTTTGTAATTATAAGAAATTTTCATTTCAGGAGAATGGTGACTTTAATGGACAGTCCATTTCCGAATTAAACAAGTGAATAATTTTTGGTATTTTAATAATAATAAAAAGTAAAAAATAAATGAAAGTGATGTATGAGGAAGTTTGAGGATAGGAGGAATGGAGAGCAAAAGAAGCAACTAAAAAGTCGTCAGGATCGAGGAGTCTGGTCGCTGACTGCAAATAGCGACGGGTGGGGTGGTAAGAAGGATTGAACGGAGGGCCAATGGTGTGATATGTGTATTGGAATGGTTGATCGGAGCGGAATTCAGTTTTACGAAGGATAGAGATTGAAATAATTTTCACACGATTCGTAAGGAAACGGGTGAAATCCATTATTATGAAGGAAGATTTTTTGTGCTTGAATAAGGGAGTTATTATGAGAGTGGATGGTACTGTAAAATCTCCTAGCCAAGTAGGAGATGTGTTTTTTGATGGGTGGGATGTGTAGGTCGTTATGAATGACACTATTACGGACATACCAGAGAGCATTTACAATTATTCTCAGAATTTTATTTTGGAGGGTCTGAAGGTGTTTGAAATGGGTTTTTGCTGCGTGCCCCCAAATGGAGGATGCATATAAAATTATGGGTCGGATTACTAGCTTAAAAAGTAAAATTTTATTTTTAAGTGATAAGTTTGAATGTCTTCCTATTAATGGTAGACAATTAAAAAGTTTTTTCCAACATTTTTCTTTGATATTAATGATGTGTTTTTTGAAGGTGAGTTTTGAGTCGAGTGTAACACCGAGGTATTTAATATCGGTGCTCCACTCGACATCTTCTCCGAATAAGTGTAGTTTTTTACCAGGGGGTGGGGCTGTGCCTTTTCTAAAAACAAGTGCTTTGGTTTTATTAGTATTGACCGCGATGCGCCAGAGTGAAAGCCACTTTTCGATTTTGTTAAGGTGTGTTAGTAATTTTTTTCGGGCGACGTTTGGGTTGTGAGATTGGACGAGGATGGCTGCGTCGTCCGCGAATAAGCATAGGCTGGTCAGTGGGAATTGAGGGAAATCAAAGGTGTGGAGGGAGTGGAGGCTCGGACTTAAAACTGACCCCTGGGGACACCCCGCAGATATCTTACCTGTGTAGGAAAAAGCCT